AGTGGCCATGATCTTAGTTTTTTTGATGTTGCGCTTCAGACCATTTTTGGCACTCTCCTCTTCCACCCTCATTAAGAGGTTTTTAATTCCTCCTCACTTTCTGCCATCAGAGTGCTATCAGCAGCATCTCTGAGGTTGTTGATATTTCTTCCAGCAATCTTAATTCCAGCTTGGGATTCATCCAGTCCAGCTTTTCGCATGATGTATTCTGCATAGAAGTTAAATAAGCAGGGAGATAATATACAGCCTTGTCGTACCCCTTTCCAAATTTTGAACCAATCAGTTGTTCCATATCCAGTTCTAACTGTTGCTTCCTGTCCCACATAGAGATTTCTCAGGAGATAGATAAGGTGGTCAGGCACTCCCATTTCTTTAAGGACTTGCCATAGTTTGCTGCGGTCCACACAGTCAAAGGCTTTTTGTAGTCAATGAAGCAGAATTAGGTGTTTTTCTGGAACTCTCTGGCTTTGGAACTAGAGACCAAATTAGCAATTTGGTCTCTAGTTCCTCTGCCCCTTCGAAATCCAGCTTGTACTTCTGGGAGTTCTCGGTCCACATACTGCTGAAGCCTACCTTGTAGGATTTTGAGCATAACCTTGCTAGCGTGTGAAATGAGTGCAATTGTACGGTAGTTGGAGCATTCTTTGGCACTGCCCTTCTTTGGGATTGGGATGTAGACTGATCTTTTCCAATCCTCTGGCCACTGCTGTGTTTTCCTAACTTGCTGGCATATTGAGTGTAGCACCTGAACAGCATGATCTTTTAAGATTTTAAAAAGTTCAACTGGAATCCCATCACCACCACTGGCCTTGTTGTTAACCATGCTTTCCAAGGCCTACTTGACTTCACTCTCCAGGATGTCTGGCTCAAGGTCAGCAATCACGCTACAGTGGTGCCTCAGCTTACAAACATCCCTAATTGTGAAAATTTCAAGATACGAAAAGCTCTGGCCACAAAATATTGCTTCGACTTGCGGCCAGAGCTTCAAGTTACGAGAAAAAAAAAACTGTGGGGGAGGTGGGGCAAGCGCGAAATTTAAACTTTTAGTTGACTGTTGGCCAGCGAAGAGGCTACTTGTCTGCTACCTCGCTCGCCCCAGCAGTTAGAGAGTGGATAGGGAGAGAGTCTTCAGACTGCCTGGTACTGTACTGTATGGACTGGTGTGGTTTTTTGGCTTTTGAAAAAAATTTATTGTTGGATGTTGAGTTTTTTTAAACAGAGACATTGTTCTGGGTGAGTACATACACTGTACAGTATTTACTGTACTGTACAGGGTTTTTTGCAGCTTGTTGGGGGGCAGGGCTTGGTGGGGGGGTTATGTTTCTGTGCTCTGATGGGTCCTGCAGTGTGGATTTAAAATGTGAAAAGTAGACTGTAATATTAAATTAAAATTAAATGTGAAAATTAGACTTATTTTAAAATGTAAAATTTATTTATTTATTTTTGCATTCTGTTGCTTCTAGGGTTTGTGTACTGTGACCTCTTTGTTGTTTTAAAATGTGTGGGTTTTAAATGTGGCTTCAAAGTATTTTATTTTATTTTGGGGATCTGTTTGCTGTAATAATGGTTGCTGGTTGTTGTTGATGCAGGCAGACTGTAAAATGCAGTGTAGACTATCTTTTTGTGATGAGGAGTTCTGTGCTGGAATAATGCTTGCTGGATTCTGTGGCT